CAACCCCTGGCACGTACATCTACGAAAGCACGCTCTATCTACAGAATTACTGTACCTGCTTCCCACCTTTTCTGTAGACTCAGAGACGGAGAAGCCAAGTGAATTCACAACTATTGTTCGTTTTTGCACAGTGCCTCACACACAGTCGATACTCAATAAATGTTAGTTGAATGAATAAATGAATGACAGATATGTCCCAGTTTTTTTTAATCAAACATATGAATCAAATATTGTGGCAAAATGCCTTGTTTTAAAAACATATACTTCTAAAAATTATATACTTTTGTTGAAGTCTCTTAAGTTTAATGTCATTTTTAAAAGAGGATAGAAGAATCAAAAACATACAAGAACTGAGAAACATTATAATATCAAAATGAAAACTAAAGAACAAATTTCCTTCACATAAAAGAATGTTTAACCAAAATGCCACACTCACCTCTGTAAGCAATATTGCTAGCATGTCCTGCCTCTGAAAACGGATAGCCAGATGCACCAGAGTATAGCCAACGTCAAAGGCAGAAGGACGGTTCAGCAAGCGCACTTCATCCGCCGTGAGCTGACGGGCGATGTCTCCTCCTGATGATTTGTACGCTTCTATAGCAGCTAAATCACCTTCTACAACCCCTAGAACAAGCACCAAGACAAAAAAATGTTTAATTCAATGGTTCTTCAAAAATCTTACACCTGTAGCATTCACTCTAAACTCTGATTCTCTGTGCTTCCTGGATCCCGAGCCATCATTTAAATGTCCTAAAGAACATAAGGAAAATTAGAGAGGGTTCCTCTCCCTTTCATTTCTTTCCAGAACCAGAACTGCCTAGTTAGGCACTTACCATCACATCAGTGCTGGCTCCAAGCTCTTGGTGAGGTTTAGAGAAATTATCAGAACATATAATTGAATCAAAGATCAATAATCTAGCAGTATGAGCAACTAGACTTCACAAGAGACACGAAGCCCTGCTCTGACCCCGCTCTGCAGAAAGCAAGGGGACAGGGGTGTGCTTCCTGCTGGTGTCGGGCTACTCCCCCTACACTGCATTTTTTAAGGGGCATCAAAACAAATGCGGAGACTTCCATACTGCTGTTTTGTTAGCTTTGAAGCAATTTAGGGCAGTTAAAACCATTTTTAATGTAAGTAAACGTTAGCAATATTTTGATTTCAGAATTTCTCTTAGCCAAGTCTTCCTTATGCCCACTATTATTAATACAGAAAAATTTAAACTATATGATTTTGAACAAAAATATGCTAAAATAAAACTTTATAAACCAGTTGGGGAGTAGAGATGTAAAACAAGTATTTTTTCCCAAATCTATAACGAACTTTCTGTTCCTACTGTTATTCATCTTCACGCAAATTAATGTTAGGTTAAGACAATAATTCTATTTACTAAACAGTACAGTACATCTATGAATAATAAATAGCCTTGGGGAAAAAAAATGAAAGTGTAGGTTAGCTTTAAATTTACCACAAATAGTTAAACACACACACACCCCCCCGACTGTAGGACCGAATCATTTTAGGTGTTTCCTAAATTACATCAAGAAAAATCTGTTACAAAAAATGCTAATACTAGCTTAAAATTACTGTACTTTAAAAAAAGTATTTTTAATTGCTATTAATTCTGATTTAGGAATTAGATAAATAGGAGCTATTCCTTAGAGTACAACAAACTGGAAAATGCAACAACCCCCAACCCGTTACTAAAAGTAACAAAGCTTTAAAACGATAATTCCCATATGCACCAAATACCCACGGCAGGCACAGCAACGTGCCAGGCAACGTAAGAAACACAAAGACAGTAAAAACATGATTCCTATACTCAAAACCGTCCTTTTTTATCACATTTGTGAGCTATAAACTCTGGGGTCAAAGATTCCTTCTGCAAATCTAGATCCTGTCCCCAGAAAAATGAATCCCTGTCCCTGAAGCATGTATTTTTCAGGTTAAGAACCCATGATTTCAAATGAGAATACCTTCTTTTTAGAAAATTTTACTTTCAAAGCAGTGCAGGATAATAGAGTCCTCAATATACTGAGACACCTAAGGACAACTGCAGTCCCCACCTCCAGTACATAAAGACTTCAGCACACCATGA